CCGCGACCCACGGGGCTGGCGGCCCCCGCGCCCGGGGTCGGGGCGGCGGCGGGGCCCGCGGGCGGCCGGCCGAGCTGCAGCTTCTCGCTCACCGCGCGCTCCAGCTTCTCCCGGGCGGAGAACCCGCTCCACATGCAGTCCTGGAGGATCACCGGGTTGGGGGTGAGGCCCCCCAAGCCCCCCAAGCCGAACGCGTCCTCCTCGGCCGGGCTGCCCCACAGGTCGGCCTCGGGAAGCAGCATCTCGGTGGCCCAGTTCGGAGGCTCCGGGCTGTGTTCCGCGAAGGCACGGCTGGGCGACAGCGGGGGCGTGGGCAGCAGCTCGAACTTCTTCCAGATGTCCTCCCCCGGGGGGGTGGAGTCCGGGCCGCCGAAGTAGAAATCGTCTTCGTCCGGGTAGAAGCAAGGCTGCAGCGAGTCAAACTCGAGGTCTGGGTTCTTGCAGATCATCCCCGGCATGGTGGACGCTGTGCAGCTGGGCATCGGCTCGCCTCCCGCCGGCGAATGAACGCTGCTCTCCGCTCCGCTCTTTTTAGTTCTGGGGGTGCTTCCTTTCCGTGGGGGGCGCGGAGGGCGGGGGCCCGCGCCAACCTCCGACACTGCAAACGACAGACACACCAGGAAAGGGTTGGTAAGAGGAATCGAATGGGGGGACAGGCAGAGGGCACCCCCTCGAACCCCGTTCTTCAATCTCCCCTTCAAGCCCCCCACTCCGCTGTGCGCTCCCGAATGTGGAGGAAGTTCTGCCTCTCGCTCGCTTCCTCCCTCCTTTTGTGTACAAGCTGTCTACGACAGGGGGTGGGAGGGGGCATGCAGATGCGGGGGGGGGGGCGGCGTGGCTCTGCAACTTTGGAAACTGCCATTTCATTCACACAAGGCACTGCCTGGGGGAGGGGGCTGTTGGAGGCTGCAGGATTCTAGCTCGCTAGCTCGCCGGCAAGCCCAATTGCACCAATGTCGGGCCAGCTGCTCCAAGGCAGCCGGAGGAGGCTCTAACCAACCCAGCTGCGGGGCACCGGATCTGAAGTACCCCGATCCCCTCGCTGTAAAATTGCAACCTCACGAGTACGAGCGCTAGAAAGGGAATTTTGGAAACTTTGCAAATGAGAAAAAAAAAATCCTTTCTCTAGACCGAGACCAACATCAGGCACCTGGATCCACCCCCACCCCCACCCCAAATTGGAGCAGACGCCCCTCAGCATTCATCCGCTGCAGGGAGTCTTGCCACTAGCTTATTTTGAACCTCTCTAACCCCAGCCCCGCTCTTCCAAACCCCCAACAACGTCTTCTTCCAGGGCGAGGAGGCAAGTACAGCCTGAACCCCAGTTTCCAGGAATGGTGCAGGGCGCCAGCGCTAGGAGGGTCGCCGGGGAGCAGCGTCTCCTCCAAGCTGGAGCAGCGGTGACCCAGATTACCAACACCGCTGCCTCGCCCAGCCTAAAACCCCCTCTTCTTCTCTGGGGGCACCCTTGGAGAAGAACCTTAGCTTCGGGGTGGGGACGCACCGGCTCCCCGTCAGCTCAAAAACAGACAAATGTTGTACAGAAGGGCGAATTTCTTTCCGATGAAGCCATTAACCCGCCCTGGCAAGGGCAGTAAAAGGATTAGGGCGGGTCTCTTCTTCCAGCCGGGGTGCCTTGGGGGCTGGAACTGGCTTTTCAGGGAAAACCCTGAGGTGATTTTGTTTCGGGAGCAAGAAACAGTCCCCCGGGTACACGGGGGCGCCCTGAGCGCGAGCCGCGATCCGGTCCAGGGCTTGCCTACCCGCCGCGCTCGCCGCTCCCGGGGCGCACGGAGGTTGGCAACCCCTTCTCCTTACCTCCCGCGGATTGCCGGGGATCCAGAGGCGATCCTGTGCGGGGGTCCCCGGGTGGCCTGGGGCCGGGCGGGGTGGGGGGGTCCTCGGGCGGCTGCAGTCTGTGCGCGCTTGCGCCTGGCTAGCGCTAGCTCGGCTCCAACCCTGTTCCCAGGAGCCCCCGCATCCACCCAGCGCGTCCAGACAGATGACTGTCACTGGCTGAGCTTTGAAGCTCGGGGGATATTATTAACTGAAAAATCTGACACACCCGGGGGGCGGGGAGAGAAGGGGGCTGCGGCACAGACAAGGGGGAGGGAGAGAGGCTGAGGAAAGCGGCTTTATCCCGCCCTCTTGATTTCCATAAAAATCAGGGGAGGCGCCAAGTCTTTCGCGCCAAAAGCCACTTGCTTTTCTTCTTTGCAGAGAGGAGGCTGCAAAGCTGGGAAGCCCGGGGTGTGCTCCTCCCGCCCTTTCAGACCCCCGGGCTTGCACCGGGTGCGCTCTGCGAACCAGCTGTGTGCCGAGCGGTGCAATGCAACACCCGCCCTGCGGGCTTGGCAATTGCTTAGCATTAAAAAAAATTCCCGGGAGCTCCGGGGGTGTATGTTCAGTAGTGTGTGTGTGGGAGGGAGCGTTGGGGGGGGGGTTACAGAGGCACCTAACTCATCCCCCGCCTAGACTGCGATAGTGTGCTGCGGCGCGCGAGGCCGACGCCCAGCAAGGCCTTACGGAGGGGCTGCCCTTGTGGGATCAAAGGACGCTACACCCAGGGTGCAAAATGGGAGGAAGAGGACGCGCCCATTTAGGAACGAGGCCGCAGGATGTTTCTACTTTTAAATTGAAAGGAGAGGGGCGCCCCCCTTGTTTGAAAATAAATAAATAACTGCGGGCTACGAGGGTGGCGCCGCGGTGGTTTCATCGGCCGAAAGCGACACCTCGCGGAGGCCCAGCAGAAAGCGGAGCTGTTGGGCCTTCTATTGGGAACTGAAGTGGGGCCACCCCGTAGCTTTCCTGCCGCCCCCGTGGCACTGTCCACCAGTCCTCCCCACGACGGGGTGGCGACTCTGGTCGGCTTCGGAAGGGAATGCGCTTTAGAGCCCTGCAGCCTTCCCCTCGGGCTCCCGAGTTAGCCTTTTCAAAGCCAGCGTCGCCCTAAATTATGGGGAGGAGGACCAGGTTCACGTAGGAGTTGAGGTCCACACCTCCTGAGGACCAAACCTCGGCTCGAGTATCTTGACTCCAAATGGTTGGAAGCAAAAAGGAAAGCTATCACTACTTAGCTGCTCTGTGCCTCAGTTTCCTCAGTTGCGAAATGGAATTAGTGATGGTGCTTATCCATAGCGTTGTTTTGAGAAATAGAAGCTATGAAAGCGCTTAGAACAGTCCCCAGCACATAAGCGTGTCAGCTATTGTTATTACCAGATCATGACAGATTCTTCCGGGGAAATTAACACCCCCATCCGGCAGCATTTGCCTTCTCCCCTCTCACCCCCTACTACCAAACCCTCACTTCACTCTAGTCACGTTTTCTTACTGGTGTGTTTGGGGTGAGGGGTGGGGGGTACGGGATCAGAGATTATTGCCCCTATCCCCAAACTCCCCAGAAACAACCTAGGTCTCCTGGGCAGTCCCGTTCACAACCAAATACACAGTGAGGTGGGATTTTGCTTGGAAAAACTATCCTTGGATGGTTTGGGGTTAGGGGGACCTGGGCCCCCCCGGACTGAGCTGGGAAAGCTTCTTTATCTCCCCTTTTTTCTAACTGGAAATTCCACTCATCCCCGCCATTCACCTCAGCTTTCAAACTAGTTACAGGTGAGGATGCAGAGGGTGGGGGGCAGCCTGTAAAATGCTCACATATTAGCATTTGTGAAGGCTCGTCCAGCCCTTACCCTGGTTGCCTACATAGCTCTGGGAATAGAGGCGGATTCCCAGAGCTCTAGGAAGTGGCCCATGAATGAGGATGAGCTGCCCTTCGGAGCACCTTTATCATTGTTATTACTTCCTTCACATATGCAAAACGCTTCACTTTTGCAAAAGCCCTTAACACCCCACTTCTGCTTTTCCCTAACCCCCTAATCTAAACCAAGCCTTCCTGCTGTATTCTCTCCAAACATCCTTCACCCCCATTTGTAATTATATATTCCTGGGAGTGTTTGTGTAACGTCGCTTTCTGCCTGACACAAGGAGGAAACCGGCTCTGTCTCCCTTCCTAGACCTGTGAGTCCCTGGAGAAGAGGACCTGCTTGTTTTGCTCAAGGGGGGCGTCCTCAGAGCAAAGCAGGATACCTGTATACAGTAAGTACTCGATGATATTGTTCAAGGCAGAGATCCCTGAATGAGTCCTTCTAAGGCAGCCAGCCAACTCTTCCAGGATAGTTTCTGGCTTATCAGCAACAGAGGGAGAGAGAAATGAAGTGTCACTCCAAAACCTTCTTCGGGCCCTCAGCAGCAGCCCCACAAAGGGCACTCAGAATTGCCTGGCCTACCTTTTACCAAAATGGCAGGACTGTTCAAATAGGCAAGGATGGCCCCCGCTGCTGCATTTAAATGTCCTAACATGCCCGTGTCCTCTCTCCGCAGACCGGTGCCCTTCACTAGTCTGGGCGTCCTTTGTCAGGGGACAAAAAAGCAGAAAAAGAGAGTCCAGACAAGAGACCTGGGTACTCTGTATGCCTCCAAGCAAATCATGTATCTTTTCTGGACCTCAATCTCTAATTTCCATCTTTTAACGCAAGCCAGTAATTACTGACAAGTCTGAATTTGAAGGTTAACAGAATGATAAAATTCAACAAGTATTTATTGGTACTTTCATTTGCAAATGAAAAGATAAAAGACTTTGGAGAAAACTTGCTACTGCTGGCTCCCGGGCGGGTGTAGAGAAATCTGCAAATTCTTCTTAAAAAGGTTGAAACACTCTCAGACTATGTGGACACACAATAAATCTTTAGAAGGTTTCAAAAACAAGGTTAGGTTCAGCACAGCTACTGTCCTGATTCAGACCAGAAATGAATTAAGGCACAGCCTCAAAGGGCTCATCTTGGACTGAGGGAGACACACACATAAGATGGACCAACAGATAGGATAGAGTTATACACAGGATTCGGTTTATAAATAAGATTTTTGAGGAAGGACAGTGTTTTTCTACAGATCTCTTCTGTATTAAAACAAAAACAATACACACACACATTCATAAGTGTCCAACCTATGACTGGCTAGATCTACAATCTCTAGATGTTTTTTTCCAGATCATGAATTAAAATAAAGGTAGTCTGGGTCCAGCTTCAGGAACCACAGTTTTGCCTAACTTCACTGGTTTCCTCCAGAAAAAAAAAGAGAAAGTGCACATTTTTGCTGATTAAATAAGTTTTAAATCCCTGACTCTTCATTTGGAGTAACTTACCCAATTACAAATCAATTAATTAATAAATTGATTTGTGAAAGCCTGGATTGCAGATTTAAATGGAAAAAGTAAGACTATATAAAAGTATAAGAAGAAAACATAGACTGGAGTTCTTTCTAAGACAGCCCAGAAACAAGGAAAGAAAGATGTAACCTATTTGACTATAATAAAAGTAAAAAACTAAAATTGAGAGTTAAAACATACCTTAAACAAAGTAAAAAGACAACAACAGTGTGATAGAAAAACATTTGTTTCATATGAGATGAAGTGTATGTCCATCCACATACACAGAGCTCCGACATACTGAATACAAAAACAAAACAAAACAAAACAAAACAGCCTGATAGAAATATTAGCCCAGGATAAGGGCAGGTAATTCAGTGAATAGGAAATGCAGATTTCCATAAACACGTGAGAAGATGCCCAGCTTCTGCTAGTAGTCAGGGAAATGCAAATAAAATCACAAGTTTAACATTTTTGGGTCTGGCAGATTGGCCCAAGTGTTGACAGGGCTGGGGAAGAGGGCTGGTGCCTTCCCCTACATTGCTGGTGTTCCAGCCCCAAGAGTAAAAGCAAGCCCACTCTTTTGAATCCATCCTACAAGACATAATACAACAAATACGTAAAAATGTAGAAACACAAATATGTGTTGCAGCATCGTTCAAGTAACCAAAATATTATAAACAATCTACATGCCCATCAACAGGGGAATGGTTGGATCTGTTATCCCACATCCACACAGTGGAATAATGTGCAACCACTAAAAAGAATGTGTTAGAGCTACATGTAGGTGCTGTCTTGGAAAATGTCCATGAGCATGAAAGGATATAAATAATGTACAGGCCAATGCGCCTGGCATTTTGGATATAGGTGTACTTAAATATGTCTACATAAACCCAACAACAAATTGGGTGGAATGCGCAACAAGTTGTTAAGAGTGGCTTACTTTGAAGAAGGGAATCAGATAAGCAGAAGGGAGAAGCTTTTCTTCTTACTTTATGAAAAATGTCTGAAACCGTGGGTTTATGGGCAAATTTAATTTTTTTGTTTTGACTTTTTTTCAAAACAATCATTTTTTGTACTTCCCAAAAAAGCTAATCATGAAACTGATCATTTTGGAAAAGTAAAGGATGCTTTCATGAAACCTAAAGTCACCCCCAAAATCCCTTTTGTTTCCTAGGCTGGTTGGCATTCTTTCAGACCAAACTGATACTGATGAGAGGAGATTCAGAAACCAGGATGGGGCAAAATGGTCACTGGTTTAATTCGGATTAGAATCAAGCCAACCAAAGCCATTTAAAGTATATGATGTTGCACGTGCCCAAGACAAGACATATATTTTTTGACTTCTGAGACTGGAGGAAAATTCGAGACACAGCATTGAGAGAGTTTTGGGGGTGGGGAGTTTTTTGGTAATGGCACAATTATGTTGAAACCAAAAATTATCCTCCTTTCATGCCAGTAATTTCATTAGAGATTAAGAGAACGAAAAGTGTCTGCCAGGCCCCGTATTCCCCTCAAAGTCTGGTTTTGCATCATTTGAGGCACTCAAGTATCCCCTTCCACTGGGAAACCTCTCAGGCTAACTTAGTACATTACGGACTTGGGGGAAAGTACTAAGATGGGGTGAGTAAAAATGCTCTGTGAACAGCACACACCTCCGTGGACAGAAAGTGCTGTTGTTGCTGTCGAGTTGGAATTCCCATTTCTCTTATGGTCTTTATGCTAAAAGGCAAAGTGGGAACGCTGACCTGGGAGGCAGGCAGGTTGCCCAGGGTCAGGCTCCATGGAGGTGAGGGAGGGCAACAGGCTTCTACCCCACAGATGTCCAGCTTGAGTTGTCGGTGAATCAGAAGGCTTTGCAAGGAGGGGAACCCAGTTGTTAGCAGGAGCCGGTAAGGCTTACAGGGAATTCAGACTCCAGATTGGGTCTCCAGAGCCATTTGCACTGCCCCCGAGAGCAACACTTTCTATATCCCAATATCCCATCTTCTTTTTCTGAGACTACTTTCCATCCTCAATGACTTACTTTGGGTGTGTTCAGATCTCCTCTGCAGAGGTTTTCAGATCATCTCTTTGGGGGATTACACAATAGATGTCCTATTTGCCACTGATTCCTGCTGATTGTGACTTCCTTCAATGCTGGAGACACTCCCAATAGCCTCTAGGACTGCCAGGCCCACTCTAATATCTGCCTGGGGGCCCTTTTGGTTTCCTTGTGTTTAAGTAGTGATCAGTGATTGGCTCTACTCAGTCTGCCCATTTCCAAAGCTGCTGCTTCTGGCCTAAAATTCTTTCGTTTTGTTTTTTTTTTCTGTTTATTCAAATCTTGTCCAAAAAGATCAGCTGGAGACTCTCTAGGAAGGAATGCTAATCTTCTCCCCCGAAATCTCTGTTAATCATTTATTGTCTGCCTTGCCCAGCTAGCATAATCCCCCTATGTTCTTTATCAGGCTCATCATGTCCTGTGTGGTTCTCCTAACAAGGTTAGTAGTTCCTGAGTGGAAGGAACCCTCCTCACCTCACCTGTGCATCTTCTACAGCATTTCCTTCAGCCAGCGGTGCAAAGAAACAAACTCTGAGGCCAGATGGGCCAGCGAGCTCTGCCAGGTTAGACCATGCAGACAGCCACCCAAGCCTTCGTCTCCTCACCTTTGAATCCATATTTCATTATTAGTGGTGTAGCATTCATGAGCCTGGCTTATAATGGATGCACAGTGACGGTCAGTGCTCGCCCTTCATTCTAGCCCCAGTCTGCCTACAGGGGCTCAGCAAATCCAACATCAACAAACCACAGCATCTGGGTTTCAGGTTGAGCCTTCTAAAGTTGGCTTGCTATTTTAATGGGACTAGTTCATAATCCTTTCTCCACCTGGAACCTCCCCTGGGACCCTCTCCCTCCCTGTCCTTAGCTTGTCCATGATGCAAGTAAGTTGGAATTGGAAGAAGTTATCACAGTATAAGATAGCCATAGCGAAAGCACAAGACCACAGGGAAGAGGACTAGAGCTCTTCAGATCTGAAGTGTGAATTCTATGTTGAAGAATTTTACATTGCTCATTTAACTTCTCTTGGCTCCAGTCTCTTGGTTCCTAAAATGGGAATAATGAGGTCAATCTCTACCATTACTCCACCAAGGGGAGGTGATCTCTGCAAAGGAGTGTGTTTAGATTCAGAAATGAAGTTTAATGTCCTGGCACTACATCATTTCCACATCTCAGGCAAGCCTACTCCCACCAGCCTCAGTTTCCTTATCTACAAGTACAGATAAATAATACCTTTGTAACTGCAACAGAGCAGGTATGACATCTAGAATAATAATTAAAAAAAGGACAAAGTATGTTATCTTGCATTATATTTTGAACTCCCAGAAATTGCGGGGGTGTAGGTCTTTATTCTAATGTAGCAAGTACTTGAAAAATTGTAAAGCCTCTTCACAGGAACAGGAGTCTGTGTGATGTTATTAAAACAGGGCTGTTTGGGATGGACACATTAGCATCATCTTATAATACTTATGATGGTCATATTTCCTGGTAAGTGGTATCAAATCCAAAAACTTGTCAAAGGGACAGATGGCATTCTTAGTACAAAAGAGGAAACCAGTTAAAAGTTAAAGAACAGAAAAGTGGGAACTTGTAAAGGCTAACAAATTGTTTCAGCATGGAGGACTGTGCCCTCTTCCCCTGACACTTACCAAGGAAAGTTTCTTTCCGGTTCATCAGCGTTCACAGTGCACTCGCTGTCAGTGTCTAAGAAACCTTACACGCCCTCCCTTCTAACCTCCTTGATTTCAAACTTTCATCCCTAACCAGAGTTGTCAGGCAGATGCTGACAATTGCACCCTGTCACTTATACACTGACAGATTGTTTCTTTGCAGCTCAGAGAGGAATACTACAGGCTAGGCTTTAAGAAGCAATTTCTAAATACCATGCATGTATTCATGTAATCTATCAACAAACACTTATATGGAACTTATCAGTTCTGCTCTCAAGCTACATACAAGTCAGTGGGGGTGATACACAATTCAGTGAAACTGACTGTGCCTTATAATATATTGTGTACACAAAGGAAGAAGCCTTCACCTCTACCTGGCGTGGTAGAACATGGCTTCACAGACCAGGAAACAATAAAGCTATTGGGAGAAGAAACAGGAATTTGCCCAGTAGTGGATAAGCATAGATAATTTGTATTAGTCAGGATGGGTGAGGTTATACTGTTGTAACAAACAACCTCCAAATCTCAGTGGCCTAATAGAACAAAGGCTTTTTTTTTTTCCTTTTACAGCATCCTTATGAGAGAAGCAGCACATCATGGAAAAAAACACAAAGGCAAACAACAAATCAAGAGCCCAGCAGCTAAAGCCTCCATTCAGATTAAGGTGGCCCCCAGTTGGACAAAATGGTATGGAGAAAAGAAACTAAAAGCATGGCTGCCCCAAAGGATTCTCATAAGCTGAAGACACTGAAAATAAGTCTAGAGAGGAAGGAAGGTGTCTTGAAAAGAGAATTGTGTCTGTGGCTGCGGCTAACAGGGATCAGATCATTCGAGGATGGAAACCCAGGCCTGCCTCTGAGCCCACCCAATTTCCACTCCCCTGAACTGCCTCCCGTGGACTGTAACCTGTACCACTGAGCAGGAGACAATCTCCTCAGTGTCAAGGGCGGTATTTATTAGACGCATAGCTGTGCCTGGCACAAAGGACGTTCCCAATAAACATTTGTGGAATAAACAAATGAATTTCCCTCTGGTTTCCCAAAGCAAGGCTGATTTTGTCTACGTATGTGCGAAAGGTCAGCCTCCTATGGAAAAGGGAGGCGACAGACCTGGAGTTTTCAAATCTGATGGTAGCAGCAAAACCCTTTAGTAAAAAAAATTATTTAAATACGTTTTACACTAAGTCCAAATTTTTAAAAAAAATGAGATAAAAGTGGAATGGCTCTGGCTGACATGAGAATAGGGGACCTGGAACCTCACTTTCTCAGCTTCCTTCTGTCTCCCTCTGGAGAAACTTCTGGGCGTCTTTGGGATTTTCTAACCCAGGCCGAGCGCCATACATTTAGATAAATCAAGTCACACCAGCAGCAAAATCCAGCACTTTCTCATGACATTTTCCCAGCAGAAGTTCCTGGCTTTCATCTCTTTGTCTTGTTGAAATCTGTAATTGTTTCCATTCTCCTCTGAGGGGTTTAGCGGTATAGTGCATTTAGTTTTACAATTAAGGAATGAAATGCAGTTCTCCAGACTAGAGGGCTGAGAGAAGCCACTGGCTCCATCCGGTATCCTCAAAATGGCACGTCCCCAGGGCTGGGGCTCCCCAGAGGCACAGGTTGGCTAAGCAAGGTTCCCAGTGCTTCCTGAAGGTGGGAGCCCTCGCATGCGTCTCCTTTGCTGCAGAATCTGCTTCAGGTCCGGAGGAAGACAGTATTTCTCTCCATCTAATACTCATTTCTCATAGTCCAAGCTTTGGGGGAGGCTGGGGAGAAGGAAGAAGACAGTTTGCCAATCAACTCCTCTGGCTCACTAAACACCCCTGACCCACAATATTAGCAGACACGAGTGATAATCCCCTCTGTGAGCAGCCCGCAGAGAACCCTCAGAGAATCCCTGCTCCCAGGATTGCTAACCTAGGAGAACCAGGCTCTCAGGCCCCGTGGATGCTGTCAAAAGGGCCAAGTGTCCTTGTTTCCTATCTGCACCATCTCCCCTGACTTCCACTGAGATGACAGGGCTGGGCAGCTTGATACATTTCCTAAGCATCATCACCAGTGCCAGATGGGGCCTCTTGTCCCCTTTTCCCTCTTTCTGCTCCATTAAAACACAAGGTGAGCCTTCAACGACGCCAGGCTCTCCACTCACCTCTGAAACCTTGAGGGTGAATGTGGGAGATTTTCATTCTGTGAACTCTGGAGCACATGAGGTCCCCTTCCCCTTCTCTGTACACACGGAGGCCCTAAGTAACCAGGTTCCAAGCTAGGAAGAGCTCCTCTAGGCCAAGCCTCTCTTCAGGCAGCTGGGGCGACAGCGTCCCAGAGGGGGGTGGATGTGCCCAGGTTGGGACAGAAACCCAGTTGGCACCCCAGAGCAGGCTCCACAATCTAGCATTCTGGGATGTCTACCATGGGGCTGGCATATCAGAGATGCTCACGGAACACTGTGGACCATTTGCAACTGTGTTTGGATGAAGCGGAGCCCAGCCTTGAAGCCAGGTGTCCTAGAATGGCGTTCTTCCAGAACTGAGGAAGTAGACTCAGCTCTGCAGAAGACACGAGGTCGGATGCCAAGGGGTCACTTTGCTCCTTTTTGTGGGCCTTCTGCTGACTGAGGGCCTTGCCAAGTCAGGTCAGGGACAAGCTCCCTTTCCTCCACCTCACTACCAACTCCTGGTTCCCCAGCTGCATGGGAGCCTCTTTGAACTTCAGAGTCCTCAGTTTTAAAATGTGGGTAATGGGTCCCTGCATCCTTACAGGACTGTCAGGACGAATTGTGGAGATAAATACCAGAGTGCCATATTGTTGTAGCAGTGATGGTCAATATTACAAAAACAATCCCCACTCACCCAGAATCCCCTGATTGTCTTATCTGGATTATTCCCCCGCCTGCTGTCTGAATCACTGCCATATTTTAGAGAGGTTAACCTGAATTTGTTTCTGTTTTCATCCAACTGTTTAGAAGCACGGACTCAAGGGAAAGACCACATTTTACTGACATTTCTGCTAAAACCCCTCTTAAAAACCCATCAGAACAGCTGGAGGTCTAGCCTAGCGTGGAACAGCTCTATCATATAGTGTTAGACGAAAAAGGAAAGTGAAGAACAACGCGTAAAAGGAGCCCATTTTTGAAGGCGAAACGTACTATATGCTTATATATGCATATCTGAAAGGTTACACACCGAACTGTTTAGTAGAATTGCTGGGGCCTGGGAGTGAGGATTGAGGTGCAGAGGCAGTGAGGGCATTTTCATTCATTTTTCCATTGTTTGCATTTTTTTCAACCATGATTGCATATTAATTATTTAAACATTTTTAAATTTTAAAATTCATTAACGTTACTTTTTAAATTAACACAATTTCAAACATCAGCAGACACTTTAAATATATGACCTTGAAATGTATTTTAATAGATTGGCTATGTCTGTCCTTACTATTTAATTTTCTAAAGAAGTTAACTAAACATTCTGTCTCGTGTTTAAAATCGGAACCTACAATCCTAATCGCTCCATTTATTGAGCACCTGCTGCACCCCAGGATGAATGCAGGCCCTTGACAGACCTTTTCTCACTTACTCCTCCCTCTAACCTCACAAGGTTAACTATTTTCACACCCATTTTCCAGCTGAGGAAGCCAAGGCCTAAGGTCATACTTCTAATAAGCAACAGAGCTATCGATAGAATTCTAACCCAGCACAATTTGACTCGATCTGACCAAAGGGCATATTTGTTTGCAAAGGTATCTCTCTGCAGGTCTGTTGATGCCATCTTAAAAATTACATTAAGCCTCATAAATATATTTGTTTAACGTTTAATCTCTATATATTATGACCACTGGGGAGCCGAGTATGGTGTCTAGTGAGTCTGTGTGTTTCCTGATCCAGGAGGACTTGGTTCTAAAAAGAATCTTCAGATTGGAAATGGAATTTTTCTGTGTTGCTCCAGAAAGTGAAATTTACAAGCAACCGGAGGAAATGACTGGGAACTCTACTCCAGGGTGACACAGAAAGAATTTGGTAACAACCGGAACAAGCCAACAGCGGATGGGGCTGTCTTGATAGGTACTGCGAGGACTGTCACCGGATTCCAAGAGAGATGAGGGAAGCATCAGGCCTACTTTAGAAGGGATTTTTACATAAAAATAAGTTCTGTGATTCCCAACTTCATGTTTTGCATTTTTGCTTATTATGTATAAGACTAACACGGGGCCTTAGAGGAGAACACCCCTGACACGATAGGGCATATTGTCCGAATTCAATCTGTAGTTATAGTGTTGGGTTATGAAACTGGTTAGTTTCTGAAGGTTTGGATATTAAAGACCGTCAATCAATTGTTTGGTCCTAATTAGTTTTGCTAGGGAGCATCTGACATGTTAACAGAAGTAGCAATTAAAATTGGATGGTGGTGTAATCACCATCTCAAATATTTAAACAATGTGATTATATAATATCTATCAACAGAGCTTTAAAAAAAATACACTTAGGGAAATAGAAGTGAAGGAAAAATAAGCATTGCTTCAGGGTTTGGAAAATGCAATGTCTTCTCCCCATGCCTCCCAGATCTTCAAGGTACAAGACAAGGAGACAAGCTCTTACAGGTCCCTCACACTGACTTCTGACAGCGGTAAGCACCCACCGGCCCTCGTCTAGGGTACTTTCAGCTGGAATATGCCCTCCAGTTGTCTGCTTCAATCATAATCACACAAAGGATGTTCTATGTTTCCCCTTACAGTCAGTCTGCGTGGGGTCCTCCCCACCACCCTCTGAGCCTTCAGCTGAAGTGGCTGCACTGGGGGTTTTCATTCAGCCCAGAACAGGTTTAGTGAGGGCCAACTATGTACTGACGGAAACTTCCAGATCTCTATGTGCATCCTCACCTTATTTCCTAAAAAGCTCCACCTACCTCTTCAACGCTCAAGAGGCATTGCCTCCTGGAATCCCAGAGATAACATCACATTCAACATGTCCCAAGCTGAACTCATAGCCTTTCCGCGTATGCCCACTCCTCCTGCTGAAGTCTCTCTTTCAGTGATGGCACCACCTGTTATCCAGATCAGGAACCTGGCAGTCGGGCCCACCTCTTCCTCTTTCTTCGTTTTATCTCTTGACAGTGACCATATTTTGTTCTTTCTACCCCCATCCAGGGTTTATAAAAGGCACCAGTCTGTCCATGCCTATTTTTTAAAGCTTAAAATCCTTCCATCCCAGTTGGTAAGGAGTCACAGTGTCATACTCCCCAAGTGCACCTCTGCCCACCACTTCAGACCCTCCCTCCAGAGCCTCTTTCTGGCTCTTCCCAAGATCCAGCCGTCAAAAGGTGTGTTTGGATTGGCTGGTGCCCTGGTGGGACCATTTGTTGCTATGCAACCTCCATGTTCGTGGCTCACGGCCTGCTTACCTGTAGGGTGCAATAAAGTAAGCACAGTGTCTGGGGCCCACTGTACTTTTCAATGTCTTTTAAAATCAGAAGAAAAAATTGAATATAATAATAATAATAATAACAATAATAAATATACAATAATAAATTGTGCCTGAATTATGTTTGTCTTTATATTGATACAGCCATAAAATATAGTTTGTAGGTAATTTTAATAGATGGGACCTACGAGAACAAAAGGGAACTCAAGTGCAGCCCCATTCAGGCTCTCCCTAACTCATCTCTCATCTCCATGAATACGTGATTTCATTTCATCGTGCCTGCTTTGGTCTACTTTCTTCCTTTTTTCCTCACTTTTCTACCATCCACATTGGCTGACCACCCACTGGGTATCCTGAAATGAAGAAGTCACACATCCTACCCTGAGGTTTTTCACAGTCCAGAGGGGATGAAGATACAGAAACCACCAAGTGCAGCACCTTTCAGTAGATGTTCCAACAGAAGACCAGAGCGCCTAGAAGAGGGAGACCCACACCAGCCAAGCAAGTTGGAAAACCATCTCGCCAAGGATGATGTGAGAGCTCCAGAAGACGAACACTTCGGCATCCCAGCGGAAC